GCCCTCGGCTTTACGCCATTAGAGACCACACCTGCGCGGCCAGCCCGCCTGCGCTGTGCTCCTCGGTCCTTATTGGCTCTGTGATCCCCGAGTCCAACTCTGCTCGGCTCTCTGACTGAGTTGCGCACCTCGGTCCCATGTTGCGCGAGACACGTCCGCGCGGCCAGCCCGCCCGCGTCGTACGTCCCAGATCCGCATGAACAGCCCACCTGGAGTGAGAAGCCATGCATCGGACTCCCGCCTGCAAAAACCGACGCATAGCTCCTTATGGGGGGGGGGAATATGATAGGGGTAAAAACTGATTTGACATAACACCCCGAGATTTGACGTAATACACCCCCACGTCAGACACCCCTGTGCGGCACACTGCCCCAGGGAGCGAGCATTAACACCGACGCGACATGCACCCACGCCCACCGTACCCAAACGACCTCCTCGGCCGATCCCTCATGACCGGCCGAGGTAGGGGGAGGCGTCGACTGACACTCCCCATACCCTGCAGCAGCTCGGCCTTCCACGCAACGCCCACGACGACGACAAACGCCATCAGAGGTACGACCCTGCTTTGGCAGGATAGCACATCAGGTAACATCAAACCCACTTATAAATACCCCCTGGCCCCCAACGGGCAGGGGGGAGACACGATCTCACTCAAAACTCCACTCCGCATCACTGACTTGATCGTCGGAGGGGTCGGGCCGAGCCACCGACCCGATCTGTGTGCAGGTACTCGACCGAAGCTGAACATGCTCGGTGCCGCGGAACTTCCCAGCCAGATCACCTGCATCAGCCACCACAAGATCCCAAGGGGAGCCGCGTCTGATCCTAACCATTTGGAGCCCTGAACCAACCGCGTCGACTCCGAGGTCACTGATTGCTTAGTGTGCTAATTGAGAATGAGATGCATATTTGTTCTATATACAAGATTTTGACATTAATACTGATTGCTTAGCGTGCAAATTGAGAATGAGATGCATATTTGTTCTGTGTACAAGAGTTTGACATTATTACTGATTGTTTAGTGTGCGAATTGAGAATGAGATGCATATTTGTTTTGTGTACAAGAGTTTGACTCTATTATTGATTGTTTAGTGTGCCAATTGAGAATGAGATGCATATTTGTTCTATATACAAGATTTTGACATTAGTACTGATTGCTTATCGTGAGAATGAGATGCATATTTGTTCTATATACAAGATTTTGACATTATTTCTGATTAGCGTGTGAATTGAGAATGAGATGCCTATTTGTTCTGTATATAAGATTTAGACGTTATTGCTGATTGCTTAGCGTGAGAATTGAGAATGAGATGATATGAACTTAGACGTAAAAAATATGTCTAACAGAACCTTGTAACTAAAACTTGTGAGGAGACTCATTTTATGGCGTCCAAATTGTAATGGCCCACTTGTTAGGGAGAGGCACTCCAAATCTAGACAAAAACAAATTATCTTGATAGATATCTTTTTGTTTTGGTTTAATAATAGCATGACAACTGTTTCTTTCAATGAAAGCTACTCATTCATTCATTAAAGAGGATGATTGCAAAGCTGAGGAAAAAAAAGAAAAGAAAAGAAAATTACCAAATCATGGGCGGCTTTAGCAGTTCGATAAAACAGTCGATAAGGGCACCATCATTATTTGGAGCAGCATTGGGTCAAGTTAGCTACTCTGTCTAGAAGTTGCAAGAAGACAAGGATAAGAACACCAAACTCAACTGCAAAATCTCTTTTCACTTTTCAACAATCATGATAATGGAAAGAGAAATATTGACAAGTTTCCTTGTTTTTCATGTGTTTCTTCTCTTGGCCACAAAAGTAGTACCCAAAAAACCGAGCTTCAAATATAAAAGATGGAAGGAAAAGATTTTACAGAGGCATATGATGTCACAGTCACAAAATAATTACATTCTTTCTCTCATAGCAAAGGGCTGTACCAACTTTCTTGATGGAGAAAGATTTGTGTCCCCCGGCATCCAACCATTTGGTCAGGCAGCTTGCAGGAAAATCTGAACAAATTTACCGTCCACATCATCGGCATTACGGTCATGAGAACAGAAAGAGTGCAGACAAAATTCACTCCTGCTTAAGAACAGAAAATGGCAAGAGAACTAGAACGGATAAACAAAGGGTTAAACAATTGTAGTCAGTCAACCTCCAGGCAATCACAATGGTACTTTATTGTCATCAAATATTATCTAAACCCCATTGGTTTTCCCCCCTCTTATCCTCGCTTGCCTCCGTGTATAAAAATTAACAACCAATGCCCAAGATGATTTAGAACTTCTATGCATAATTTAGGAAGTACATATAATCAGGTAATCGAGAGGAATGCGAAACCAAGTTGATTTTGACAATGACTCACCGGAAGCGCATGTATTCTGGAATTCATGAAGAACTGAGTGCACCATCACGGAGAACTACTCAAGTCGTTTTTGGGTGCCACTTTATGCTACATCCAACACTAGAATGGAAGACAAAGTGATGATTTTACGTCGTAATGAAGCAAAAATAATATATAACAGCAAAATGCAAGTTCTAAACAGCTAGCGGGATATTGGAAGTTCTACCTCGGTTTTTGTGCAGACGTTAGGAGCTGGCCACTGAGAACACAGTCTATTGCGCGACTTAGGTCCCTGTAATAATTTTTACCATATCTCATTTTCAAATATAAACTTTCAAGAAAGGAAATGTTCTCATGAATCTTACCTTCCTGTTATGGGCACATTATTACTAGGTCGTGAGTCATCAAACTGCCCACGATAGAACAGCTCAAATGGCCTTCTTCCATCCTATCGCAAAAAATAGTGTTCATTTAAGGGTAAGTTACTTATATCTCAGTTCGCCTACGTCCATCCTAAAATCCTACTCGTGCTACAAAGTATGACAGGAAGTATCCTTTTTCTTATTTACTCAATTCAGAGTGGATTGTAGTCCTATCTAGAAGTTAAAGAATATAATTCGAAAAGTCAAAGAAAACTAAAACAGATCAACCTATTCCAGTTTTATTCTTGCAACATTCGATTGGTATGACAACCAAGAGACTGCAGAAATCATGGCCCTTTGATGTGTCTGCATGATGATCAGTGAAGAGATAGAACTCTACTCTTGTTGTCATGTGATCAGCACCCATGCCCTAGTAAAAAGTCCTGCCGTGCTCACTAAACCAGAATGCATAACTCACCTTCTTGAAGAGGAAAAACTCTGGTGTACATACAGCTCCAAAAGCCCGTGCAACATCCTGTGACTGAAGAAGGGCACTTGATAAGAGTCAAGGCTGCTAGTAAACGCTGAGAAAAGAATTTCAATTAAAAACTCACAATAAGCAATTTAAATGTAGTCAACAATTTAATGTTTGTTCCTGCTAAAATCCTTTGCAGTTAGAGACCTTAAGATTAAGGTCTCATGTAATATGCACACTCTGAGAAAATAAAATTCATGTGATGATCAGAAGCAGTGAATATGGAAATTAAGTTCCTCATTTTAGTCTATAAGATCAGCAACATATTTACTTCCAATTAAGACAATAAATATGCTTCAAGTGTCACATCCATCACAAAGAGATCAAGATCATGGTTTGCTACTGATAGGGTCTATGATCGGACGAGTATGATACCAGTCCTGTATAATATAGTGTGTCAGTATTTTCCATGAATCAGATCCTACTTCCTGTTGACAAGAATTTGTTTTTGTTATTTGGCTCAGAAGCATTGATGCCTTCCAGCCTAAACTTTGATAAGTCTCAATAACTCACTCATTTCCTTAGGCATCTTCATTCTTGACTAATTTCCTATTTGTACAATCATTGGTAGCCATCCTACTATGATTGCCCGTTAATATGCATTCTTGTTTCTTCGCGAAAGTTTTGGACAACAACAAGAGTACTAAAACAAGGAGTGAGGAAGTATTCAATCCAAAGAAGTCTAAATGTACCTCATCGAACAGATAGGGAAAAGGGTAATTGAACAATTTAGCTTCTTCTGCCATAAATTCTGGTCCATCCTGTAATATCATAAGTTCTTATTAAATTTTCAAAAGCACAAAAGTAAAGGTTGGCATCTTTATGTAATTCAGATAACTTGTAATGCAATAAAAAATATTTATGACATTAAATAATTTAAAAAATTAAATATATTTGCAGCAGAAGCATCACAGAAAATACATCTGTCTTCAATAACAAAAAATATTTTCTTCAAGTTCAAGTCACATTCATTTTTCAAATACTACAGAGACCACAAAATTAAATTTAAGTCCAAAACACAAGCCCAATCTTAACATAAAATTTTATCAGTTCTGTCAGAGCCAATTCACAAGTACATGATGTCATGTCAACAACTTGAATGCAAATTAGATAATACAACAAAAACAACTTATATTATCCCAGTTAATTAGGGTTGGCTGCATGGATCTTTTCTGCAATTGAGCTCTGTTTAGGAAAATATCAGCAGCCAAACAGCAGTCAGATCTATTTGAAAGGAATTAGATGCCAAATTCATTTACAACGAATTCATTCAGTTAGTGGAAGCTGACAATTCAGGAAAAAAAAAACTCATGAAATCGGCAGTAGCTCTTGTTTAAATAACGTTGCATATCCATACTTATGTCACTTGATATTGGATAAATGTTCAGACATGTCAAAGTAGTTGATAGAACTTCAATATAAGTATAACCTGTGGATGGGTGATGGTGGAATTTGAAGAGATGGCAACAACACCCAGCCCCTTCTGCAGCACAGAGAGAAAATGTGGCCAAAACTTTTGCTAACTGAGTCATGAATGTCTGTTCTTAAAGTTATTTACCTCCATGTAGAAACTTGTAAGTTTGGTAATATCCCTCTTCAAATGCTTAACAAATGGGCAGTGATTGCAAATGAACATCACCTGCAACATATTACATGCACCTTTCAAAATACAGAACAAGATTCAGGATTCAGTTCCTAGAAATAACTCATAGGAAAGAATGTACAAAAGACCACATTAAAAGTTAGCATATTTCAGTAAAAGTACTAGAGATCCGAAATAAAATTTTAAAAAAAAGCCATGTGAACTATGATAAAACTTGATGCTGAGACAACTAAGATGACTAAGTGGGACATGGTGGAGTAAGATGGTGGTGGTGTAGTGAATATAACAATACCATACGAGCAATGTTGACTAGCCAAAACCGAAGCAACTTAGGTAGGCTTCAAAGCGTCCTTCCCCTCTGACCCCACTCGCATTTGAACAAACAGGTGCACTGCAACTATTTCTCAAGACATGGGTACCGACTCATCCCAAATATCACATTGATGAAGTTTTGTTACTCTCAACCAAGAAATTGCATGCTAAATGCTTGATGAGCAACAAAACCAGTTTAATCTCATCGATGAAGTCTCGTTAATCTCAGCCAAGACATGGCGTGCTACAAGCTCGATGAGCGACAAAACCAGTTTGCCTTCCGACAACGCCAAGATCATCACAACGGAGAGCAGAATGACCAATTCAGCATTTGCTTTGCTTCGAGAGAGGCATCAATAGGAACGGAGACTCACCAGAAGCGCAGGGCAAGACTCGAAATCATCCAAAGTCCACACTTTCCCCGTCAAGGGCTCCGGCAGCTGCAAGAAGAGCCGACACAAGAACTATATCCAGACCGACAACCAAGAAACCAAAAGAAAAGGGTAAGGGGATGGAAGGAGAGGACCTCGAAATGGGGAGCTCTGAAGCCGAGAGAGACAGAACCGGACTCGGTTCTCGCGGCTCGGACTCGGAACGTGGGCAGGTCCGCCCGAGTGGGTTTGACGGCGGGGTGGAGGAGCAGGCGCCGAGATGGAGAAGAAATGGTTCGCCGGGAGGAGGCGATCATCGGAGGCGGCAGTAAAAGAGCGGCGGAGGCGGACCGCAGAAGAGATGGCGAGGGGAGGAGGGCGGCTCGGGTTGCGGAAGCCATGGAGTTGTCGGTAGCCGGTGACGGTGAGCCGCGGGCGACCGCTCGATTTATTTGGCCTTTCACGATATGGCACACGAGCCGATTTAATTGGTTCGATCAAATCAAAATCCGCCGACCCGAACCGGACCGGTTCATTACCACTCTTGATTTCAAGCATAGTAATTGGAACCAAATCAGAAAATAGATTGACCGAGAGAGTCAATTTTTCTCCCCTTAATTCTAATTTAAAATTGATGTAAAGACTCTACCGAACAAATAATAAGAAAGATTTTGGTGCTACAAAACCCGATCAGTAATATATATATATATATATATATACACCAAAATAAAAATCTTATATATTCTTTTTTATCTTTCTTCTTTTCTCTCTCTGGTGGATATGGTGACTTCAATGATGTGAGAAGTCATACAATCCAAATGTCTATCTTGAGGGCAATCCAAATGCCGGTTGGGTCGTTGACATTGCTGGGGTCATACAAGTTGACCAGTCTGTGTCCATCACCCTTTCTCGTGTCCCCTCCCAAGCTTCGTCCTGGAGAGTTCGAAGTCATCGAAGTTAGGGGAGAGAGAGGCTCGTATCATATGAACGTTTGGCATTAATCGTATACAAAGTATGTATCTCATGTGCCATATGTTGTGTCTTCTGCATGCCTTAAATCTATCCCCTTGCCTAACTTGGTTTGACCAATGAGGGCGGAGAGAGAAGCCATGGAAAGAAACAACTTTGACTTGAAGCAATTGGTCAACACAATCTAATAGAAACATCGTGTAAAATTTGGCCTTTGACATGTTGCGTAAATCTATACACAACAAACGAGTCAGACTCGGTGGCTTGGATGCATCTCAGGATGCCGAGTCATAAGGTACAAAGTGAGTCAGACTCATTTCCTCGAGTACATTGTTTTGTATATATGTAGCTACCGAATGAAGGTTAGATGTTTTATGTTCGCATCAATGCCTGTAGGAATAGAATATGATGGCACTATTTCCACACAAATGATTGGATAAGGATGGAGAGCTTCTTCTTCTTCTTCTTCTTCTTCTCATCAGTATGATCCAAAATGAGGCCACGCACTCTTTGCTGTCATCTGCAGAGTGATCATAACCTGAAGACAACTAATGAAATTTAATGGAGAAAAATGTTTAAGATTAATCTTCTGTGTCATATCCTGCTAAGATTGCTGTCACTGTCAATTTGGCAGATGACTTGAGTTGATGAATAGAATTAAAAGTCAAAGAAAAATTGTCTTGTTACAGCAAAAAAAGTCACGAAAGAATACCTAATCAATGTAGACTCACTCACTACATTCCCATGAAACAAACCCAGTCTTGTCTGGTTTCTTCTCTTGCATCCCTCATCTGGCAGTGCCAACCAACCAAATGATAACAATGGAGAAGGCAGAGTCATATTTAGTGATCGACTACCAGATATCAATTTGACCGGGATAGAAGCACAGTCAACACTCAACGGTTGTCTTCATTACCGCTGAGGAATTCCTGCTCAGGATCACCAGTCCTAATCATGTTCAATTCTGCTTCTTGTAGGCTTCTTCGACCATGTTCAGGAAGAAAATTGAGCTAGATATGCATTAAAAAGGATGAAGTCAAGTTCGATCATGTAGCTTCATAGTGTAGTACTCAGATCAGCTCTTCATCGGTAATTGTGGATAGAATTTGATCGAAGCATCAATTAATTAGGTACCACACAGAAATTTCTCTAAAGAGTTCCAGTAATAGTGGATCGATTCATCCCTTAGAAAACAGGAATATTGGTGTGAATTCATTTGGTACTGAGGTATCTGACAAATTTGAGGTCTTTGAAGGCTGCATCCATACTGCGCAGTAAATGCTTCCGAGAACTGCAACAAATGGGAAACCCTTACTCGTTGGTCTCAAGTTCGAGATGCATGCTGTCATCTCAGTTGACTTTGAAGTAAAAGAAGAAGTTCTTGTGGCCTCCTTGGATGAGAAGTAAAAGAACAGATTTATGCGACCAGCTTTTCTTTGGATTATGTTGTCCACTGTATCGGATTATGCCAAATGAAGTCAGCTTCCATGTCTTATGGCCAAGCTGACACATTGTTAGGCTTCCTGGGGCCTTTGCGCACACATATTTATCTCTCAGAATCCATGGGGGTAGAAGAACATCAATAAAAGGGGGCCAAATTCCACCAGAAAGAGAGAAGAGTGATCAAACTCACCCCATTCTGGCAGTCGGATTCTGCTTCTCTTCCTCTTCTTCTCGACTTTGGTAGTGTTCTCCTTCCTCTTGTTATCTTCAGCACTGGCTTCTTCCTACAACTTCAGCAATTGAGCTTCTCTCTCTCTCTCTCTCTCTCTCTCTCTCTCTCTCTGGGTTTTCTTCCCCTTTTAGAATCATGATTCTCATTGTCATTTGCTGAATCATAATTTTTGGAACATTTCTTTGGTGGATTTAGTTCTACCTGTCTTGTTGTTGCCATTCGTATGTAGTTTGCTTCATGCATTCATGTTATCCATGGTTGTGTATATACTCACATGAGAATGATTTCTCTGCCTGGTAAATGCCAGATGAACCAATCCTGCACTGCACAATGAAAGGCCTTATCGTTGCATGTCATGGTTCCACCGAGACCCGGTATCGATCGGCCGGAGCAGAGTAAGCTCTGCTCTCCTGTAAACTCCCTCACTTCCTCTTTTTGTGTCGATTTGCATGATCTCTCATCCTTCCATTACCTGTCTCTTTTTGTCCAGCGATGACACAGGCAAAAGAAAGCCTCCAAAGTACAAAGTTCTCAGGGAAGACAAGTACAAGTTCCTGTTTTCGGAGAGGAGCTCAAGCTGCAAGTTCGAGTCCTTGAAACTTGCCCTGTTCATCATTACGTGTTGCACGGTCTTAACGCTTGCTTTCTGTCCGATGATCCACAAAGAGCGAGTCTTGTCGCGTTCTGGTTCGAGGTAACACTCTCTTTGGTCTACTTGAATTGGTTGCGGAGGTTTTCGATGTTGAACTCCTCTTTCATGGATTTTTTGTTGTTGCTGCTGCGTAGGTCTCTGTTCGTGGACGTCGCGCGGATGTGGCAAACGATGCTCGCTGATCCTCGATACGTATCAAATTTGGATGTTGTCTGGGACCAAATACCGAGCTTTCTCAAATATGTAAATGCCGACGGAGGAAGTCCCAGGATCGGATTGCTCAATTTCAACTCCACCGAAGCTAGATTATGGAGGCAGACACTGCCACAAGCGGAGGTTTCCTCAGTTCATCTGGACTATGCTGAAACAAGCATCACCTGGAAGGTTCTCTATCCCGAGTGGATCGACGAGCAAGAAGAAAACGAAGTGCCCGCTTGCCCATCCCTCCCTGAGCCCGAGATCGAGGAAGGATCAAGATTTGATCTTGTCGCCGTCAAGCTACCTTGCGATAGGTCCGGCAGCTGGTCCAGGGATGTCGCCAGGTTACATCTGCAGCTCGCAGCGGCCAAGATCGCTGCAGCTTCTGCAGCAGGACACTCGCAGGTTCATGTGCTCATCGTTACCGACTGCATGCCGTTCCCGAACCTGTTTACCTGCAAAAACCTTGTCCAGCACGAAGGAAATCTTTGGCTGTACAAGCCCGATTCAGCGACATTGGAGGAGAAGCTTCGGCTTCCGATCGGGTCATGCGAGCTCGCGATCCCCTTTGAAGCGAAAGGTCAGTGTCTTGTGCCTCTTCTTCTGCTGCAACTCTCGGAAAGATTCATGAGCTGCGTTCCTGCGCGCAGTGCGGATGTACACGGAGTTCGGACGACGAGAAGCTTACGTTACGATCCTGCACTCGGCGAAACAGTACGTGTGTGGCGCCATTGCAGCGGCCAGAAGCATTCGTCTAGCGGGATCAGCGAGGGACCTTGTGATACTCGTCGACGAAGCCGTAAGCGAACAGGATCGAAACGGCCTCGAGGCGGCCGGGTGGAAGGTGAGAGTGATCGAGAGGATCCGAAACCCCAAGGCGAAGCGCGACGCCTACAACGAGTGGAACTACAGCAAGTTTCGGCTGTGGCAGCTCACGGACTACGACAAGGTTATATTCATCGACGCCGACCTGCTCGTGCTCAGGAACATCGATTTCCTCTTCGCCATGCCGGAGATCAGCGCGATAGGGAACAACGGGAGCCTGTTCAACTCGGGCGTGATGGTCATCGAGCCCTCGAACTGCACGTTCCAGTTGCTGATGGATCACATCGACGACATCACCTCCTACAACGGCGGCGACCAGGGGTACCTGAACGAGATCTTCACGTGGTGGCACCGCACCCCGAGGCACACCAACTTCCTGAAGCACTTCTGGGTCGGGGATTCGGAGGAGAGGAAGAAGAAGAAGGACGGCACGTTCGGAGCTGATCCCCCGGTGCTGTACGTGATTCACTACCTGGGGCTGAAGCCGTGGCTGTGCTTCCGGGACTACGACTGCAACTGGAACTCGCAGAAGTTTTGGGGCTTCGCCAGCGACGCGGCGCACGCGACATGGTGGAGAGTGCACGACACGTTGCCGGAAGACCTGCAGAACCTGTGTCTGCTGTCGACCAAGAGGAAGGCTTACTTGGAGTATAACAGGAGGAAGGCCGAGAAGGCCAACTACCCCGACGGACATTGGAGGCGGAACATTACCGACCCAAGATCGGAGATATGCTCTGAGGCGTTCTGCAACTGGGAGAGCATGCTGTTGCACTGGGGCGAGAAGAGGCCGTCCAACAACAGCCATGCAAGTGTGGGTGGCACTGCAGCTGTGCCTAGCTCATGAAATACTACCTTCACTTCGTTCTCTCTCGTGTGACTGTTGCTGATATTTGATACACAGGAAGATGATTCAATAAATTTCATGGGTGTAAGTTGTGACAGTCATGTTCTTCTTGTCTCCAATTCTCATAAGTCTATTATATAAATGATTTAAAGAAAAGGTGGATTACTTTAATTGTTTCATATGTTAACCTCAAGATATTCCACCAAGATGGAAGAAATTAACGCAGAGTATTGGTAGTAAAGGGAAGGCTTCAACACTGTTATATCTTTCTATATCCTTCAGCAAGCTGCCTTTAAAAGAATATCCCAAGCCATAAATTCCAAGGAGGTATGATTCTGATAGGTCAACCTGCATTAAATGAATTCTCATTGTTTCTTCCGAGTGCGTAATTGGCATGTCATCATTCCTTCTGGTTTTCTCCTTGCGGGTTGTGGTGTCTTCTTCTTCCATCCACTGACCGCACTTTTGCTGCGAGTGATCATTATGTGTTGGAAGCTGGTGGATGTGGACATCCAACAGAGGAAGTGCATGGACCACGCACCAGTAGATAAGATGATGGTGAAGGAATGGGCCCCTTCAGAAGGGCATCTTTTCTATGATGGTGTGCATGAGTCGGTCTCTGTTACTGCCACTTCGATGAGCACATGCAAGCAACAATGGTGGAGCTCCGTAGCATCTCAGAACATACCATGGAAACCTACAGTCCTCTGGATTTTATTGTGCATATCATAGTGTATTATAATAATATTCCAGCTCAAATCGCATCACAAGACAGCAGATGTTGTTCTATAGATCAAAGGGAATCCATTGATCCCCCTGAATAAAGTTCTCCACGGAGTAGGCTCCTAAATGCTCCGCCGGGATCTGGCTGCTCCATGGCACTCTTGCGGTCACATTAGCTCCGGGACCAGAGCTTCCGAACTCTCCGTAGAACAGCGTCTGCAGCGCGAAGTCAACGCTACCGTTCCATGTCTCCCAGCCCTCCGGCCTCACGATCTCCGCCAAGTTGCAGTCGATGAACACCGTCCTCGAGTACTCCTTCCATGGCCTCCCGAGGTACACGCGGTGGACGTCGGGCTTCGAGCGGTAGAGCGCGAGGTACTCGTCGCTCCCGTTGATGGCGCAGTGGTCGAACACGAAGCCGGTGGACTGGGCGGGGTCGGTGCGGCCGTGCGCGGTGACGGTGTTGGACTCGCCGTGCTCGGGGTTGAGCTGGCGGGGGAGGACGAAGATGAGGCAGTCGTGGAAGACGGTGGCGGAGTTGCCGAAGATGAAGTCGACGGTGCCGGCGATGCGGCAGGATTTGTAGAACTGGCGGAGGGAGTGGGCGTAGAGGGTGTCCTGGTGGCCGAGGAACTCCACCGACTCGAGCACGGAGAGGTCGCTGTCGGAGCGGAAGGCCACGGCCTGGTGCTTGTCCGGCCCGGCGGTGTTGGCGAAGGTCAGGTTCCGGGCCATGAAGCCATCTCCACTCACGCCTGTGGACAAGCAAACAGATGAGAATCGGTTACACTAAGCGATAGGAGTCGAACACTTTATGCTGTCCTCTGCAAGCAGATGAGGTCAAGCATCTCGTGACTGTGATTGAGGATACCGTGACCCGTGACGAAGGACAGAGACAAGCTCTGATCGAAACTGCAAGGAATTTGCACCCATGAGAATGCAGTCATCCATGGTCTCTGCCCAGAGACTTCAGATGCACGCGGGGGACAGGTTTTGCTGTCATCAAGGTCTCCTCCGCAGGGAAGAAGTAGGTGATGACTGCTGCATCAAGTCATGGCAAGTCATAGCAGTAGGAAGACGTCGTTTTCGTTATTAGGGCTTATGATCTAGTATGCGCAAAGCATCCGGCGGAGCTCTAAATTAGATCTACGTCCCGCCATTCAGTGCATGATTCATGCACTGACATGAGTTATCGTCATACTGTAATCTCTTACCAGGATTGGACTGAGGATTCGTGGCGAGTTCTTATTGATTGCACAAAGGAAACTATAAGTGGTACTCACCGACGGTGGCCGAGTTGTAGGTGGAGACGCCGACGGTGTCGGCGTTGAGGGAGCCCGTAATGACCGTTTTGCCCATGCCGTCCCCGATAAACACCAGGTTCGTCTTCACGAACGGCACCCGGACCGTCTCCTCGTACACCCCTTTCTTTATGTAGATCACGTACCGGCCGACGCTGTGCTCCGGCGCAGCGTCGACAGCCGCCTGAACCGCTCCAAACTGGCATCCGCCCTCCTTGCAGACCGTTGCGTCCGGCGGTGTTCCCGGCCGTGGGAACTCCTTCCGGGCGGCCTCTCCGCTTGGTGACGCCACGGTGGCGTCCGGCCAGTACCCGTCCCTCTCGGTCTGCGGCGGGGCCCAGAGCGAGATGTTGGCGCCGTAGCGCTGCAGGGCGGCCACCATGGCGGTGGCGCCGCCGGTGACGTTCGCGAGGTTGGCGAGGAAGGCCATGGCGTCCACCACCTGCTGGGTATCGTTGACGTACTTGAGGGCGGACCAACAATCGTACTGGTAGAGCTCCGCGGCGCCGGCAAAGGCGCGGGCGTCGGCGAGGGCGCCAGCGGGGACCGCCAAGGAGGCGGCTGCGAGGCGGTGGTTGGAGAGGGAGAGGAAGTCGAGGCAGTTGCGCGCAGCGTTGGTGTGGTTCAAGTTGGAGGCGGAGGTGTTGAGGATGGCCTGGGCGTTGGCCCGGGCGGTCTGGAGGCCGTTTGATGCAGCGGAGATAGCGCCGAGGACGAGGTCGAGGGCGGAGGGGTTGGCGGGGAGGGATGGGGAGAGATGGGAGAGGGTCGACTGGCAGAGGTCCGGGGAGCGGGTGGCGCAGCAAGCCTGGCGGATCGCGGGTGAGGCGGTGGGTACCGCATCCGCCTTGGGGCTGGGGATGGGGGCGTGCCTGTGGTGTTGACGGCCGTAGACGGCGTCGGAGGAGGTGGAGAGGAGGAGGAGGAGGAGGAGGAGGAGCAGCGGGACGAGAGAGGAAGCCATGGTCCGAATCAATGGGATATCCCTAGTGAAATCTTTCCACACGCAGGGGAAGATTTAAGGTTGTATCACGTGGGCGTGCTCACGGGACAAATAGGGAAGGTGGACGACGTGGCCATACCACCGCAGAGAGCGGATCACATTGTTAGAAACTGGAAAATGGAAACAGAGAAAGAAAAGAAGGGCGAATTCGTTATAAAATACTCATATTTTGAGTACTTTTCTAATAATACCCGTCTTTTCAGTTTTTCTAAATAACACATCTAATTCCAAAAATACTTAATTTTTCTGAATTTTTACTTATTATAGTATTTTGATCTATTATAATATTTTTGACCTATTATAATATTTTAATCATCATAACAAAAATATTATAAAATGAATCAAAACACGTTACAAATCATTTGATATATAATAGTAAGTATTTATACTAATTTAGAAACAACATCATTCAAATAGAAAAAAAATTTATAATATTTTGACCATCACAATAAAAAAATATAAAATCTAATAAAAAATATTATAAATGATCAAAACTAACTCCTAATGTCAACCAAACTATTTACAAGTCTAAAAGTATGATATCTTTTTTACGTGTAATATCAACCATAGTTAAATTTATGGTGTTAAAAAAAGTTAAAAGATTTGATAAAAAAAATTTTAGAGCTATTTTAGGTATTTTAAATTATGAGTATATTTAGAAAAACTAAAATTAAAAATATTAATTGATAAATACTCAAAATATGAGTATTTTCTATAAAAATTATCGAAAAAAAAGAGAGTTTCAACTTAATGGGTGATAAGGGGAAAAGTCACCCATAATTGTAGCTCATCATGGGAATATTTTGCCCATGTTATAGAATAGTCCATTGAGCCTAACCTTCTAAAAGCCTACTAATTTGTTATTACTTAAGTCGTTATTATTTACACGTGACTCCACTTTTCACCTCGATCCTAATTTAAACGTTGGAGGGACCAGGTTAGGCACCCTTCTCGATGCTTGTCTTCTTGCAGGTCAGCCCACCAACGGACACCTGAGTCACATTCTCAATCATTTTCGGATTCTACATGCGACCCAAGACTGAGTTGAATTGACTAAGGCGTCACCAACAATCACTATATCATTTTGGTTCTAAAAAGAGGGTCACTATTGTAAGAGCGCCATACTACTAACCCGCTCAATGAGCGCTTAAGCAGGGTGCTTTGTTATTAACCCATATCATCTTCACATAAAGAGACCAATAGTTGATGTTTTCAACACTCGATACCTTTACTGCTACCCAAATGCCCATACAATATTAGTGATTATTTAATGATCTTGGCTTCTCCTCTCCAATGGCAACACCCACCAGCATTGGCTTCTCCTCTCCAATGGCAACACCCACCCATATGCTGGTGTTGACCAAGGTCTTCATGAACCTCACCGAGCAAGTTTAGAGATTGACAAGGATAATGCAATCAGTCATCCCCATGCTTTTGTTCTTGGCTTAATCGGTGCCTACTACCCCCTCCCTCCCCAATCTCTTCCCCCCCCCCCCCCCCCATAACCCGCAGCACCTTAGACTCCGATAGAGACACCTTAGCTGGTTGGGACTCATGTGGTCACTTGAGTTGCTTTAACCATTAAATTTAGTGGACCATGTCATCGTAGTCGACAACGCCCGAGTCCGAAGCATAATTGATAGACTTAGAGCATACTCTATGAGTGCAACTTCGATAGATGGACTAGCACTTAGAGGACATGTGCTGTGAGTTCCACGTAGCAAAGGTAAGGAACCTGGTCGGCTTCACCTCGATCAAATTCCCCTTTATATGATAAATGCAAAAGGAGCTTGCTCCCCCTTCATCTGATAAAAGCTTAGGCTCTAACGGACTTCATCTCAAAGCTTACATTGCCATGCCCGATCGACGAAGTCGCCCACCCTCCCTATTGTTCATCAATTGGTCGACGAATGCTAAAGGGGGAGGAGATGAACTTATCCTTAAAAGTCATAATGCATAATTCTATAAGCAAGCTCTACGCTTTGGGTTCAAGATATCAAACTATGAGGTAGAATATGAGGCCCCTTTATTTAGCCTTAGGTTGGCAAGGGAGCTTAGCATTTGATAACTAGTGGCTAACCAAGTTTGAGGAGTTTTTGAGGCTTGGGACATGATGATAGAAAAATACCTCATCGAGGTATGGAGGCTTGCCCTTCATTTTTCTAAGTTTAAATTCTTCTAAGTACCTTGGAAGGAAATGCTCAAGCTGACACATTGTCAAGACTAGCCTCAGCAAAAGACATACATATTCAAGTTGACACGTTACTCATGAGGAATATTGACATCTTGTAGGTCTCTCGAGCCTAAGACATGCCCTGTTGAATGGATGATATCATATGATATAAGAGAGATGACATACTCTTGATTAATCAAGCTTCGATGAGGTGAGTTAAGTACCACCAGGCTTGGCATTGCATAGTAAATGATTAGTTATATCATAGGCTCTTCAATCAATTACTTCTTAAATGCTTATCCCCTCGAGAGGCTAAATATGTTCTAGTCAGGTGTATGGGAGAATGTGCGGTGAGCACATTAGAGGTCAAACACTTGTATTCAAAGTCCTACGACAGAAATACTATTAGCCAATATTAAAAAAGATAAGATGACTTATACCCAAAAGTGTGATAGGTGCTAGTGGTATGCAGATCTCGCACCAACTGATGGTATACCTCAGCCTGATCGATTATGGATGACCCTTTTTCGGTGAAGAATGGACCTCCTTGGCCCTTTTCCATCAACCTCAAGGCAACGCCAATTCATAATAATTATGGTAGACTACTTCACAAAGTAGATTGAGGTCGAACCACTCGTCTCCACCATCGAAAGACAAAAATTATTACTTGGTTTAAAATCTCAAAAGCCAATATCACCAATAATGAGACACAATTTAATAACCATAAGTTTAAGAAATTCTACATCCTATGAGACTTAAGAAGTGGGTAAAGGGCACTTAGGCCGAGGAGTTATCCAGCATCCTATGGACCTCATAAAAGATCCAAAGACTAGGTCGGGTGATTTGAGGGTCACATAATATATTCTCCTTGACCTCTAGTCTTGGATGTCTTGCTTTGAATCAGGCTAGAGCAAGGAGGTATCCATACTCGAAGGAGGATTTACCCGAGTGAACTAGCCCTTTACAGTCGATGAAAAATATGTATCTTTGAATAACCTCAGCCTCTCACTTCAACTATAGGGCTACCTTGGCCATAAGCTAGTTAGCTACCTTCATGACCTAGAATTTGCTAGTTTTAAGTGCCATACAAACTAATCATATGAGTGATGACACGTGTGACATGCTATACAGTCTTTTTAGTTATTATTATTATAGTATTTTCTCACTTTATATTGGATGATAAATATATTATAATGTCCTTGAATCTGTGCAATAAGAATTGGATCATGATTAGATCATGATCATGATTATAATTCGCCTATAAACACAGATCCTAAATATTTTCGATTATAGGTTACTTGAGAAGGATATCAAGACAACCAAACAGACCGAAGTATATACTCGTCCATCATATGAATACTATGGATATAGTGCATGTGCTCATTTGAGAATGAGTTTACTAAATGATCCACTTACGAAATGCTGGTTGGTTAATAATACTTTATCATCAGACAATAATTTCGTAGTCTCAATTGTGTGTCTGGTCCTTGTACTTGAGATATCAAGGATGTCTTGTATAAGTACTTCGCTTTTTGATACCGAATTTATAGGTCTGGAGGTTCTAGATCTGACACAATCGATCATCGAGAGTGGTAGCCAACTTTACGAGGACAATTGAGTGTTAATAGAGGATCATCCACTATCATGAGAGGAATATCCCATATATTCTCATTCAAGCAAATCCCAAGCTAAGGTCGATCGGATTATGATAAAACCGATAAGTATAAGATTCAGATTGAGAGAGAATTCGATTAGAGTGAGACTCAAATAGATTTTGTATGGGCCTAATAATGTCATGCCCGATATATGATCTCTGAGATATTAGATGGATGAGGAACTATAGAAACATGATAACTGAGATCAAATAGGTCCAATGGATTAGATCTTCTTGTATCGTTTGGGGACTATGACATAGTGGTCTAATACGCTTATAGTTGATGAGTCAAGTGAATTATTATGGGGATAATAATTCACTGAGTCAAAAAGGAGTTTTGACAAGTGCAACTCGTGACAAGCTTGGTATTGAGCTTAGAGAGTCACACACATATGGTGGATGACACGTTGAATAGAGGATTGAACATATGATGTCCAATTAGCCTATGTTTTACTAGATCCTTTGGGTGAGAACTAATAGGGCTTAGAGTGGTTATTGGATGATGATTCAATTTCTATTAAACTATGAATAATTGGATGAAGATCTAGTATCCAATATACCAAGATAATTGAATGAAGATTCAATATCCAATAGGGCAAGATCTATTAGGGTTAAGTTTGTTGGGAAATAATAGGAGTGACATCACATGCGCAGCGGAAGAACAAAAAAAAATCTCCAATTCCCAAAGATATATTCATCGTCGTGTGAATATTGATGTGCAAAATCCGCAAAACTTAAAACTGTGTATATAATAGATTGTGTTACCTAGGGAGATCATATATCCTTGTATCCAAGCAGATCTCTAGGAGAGGGTGAAGGAGGTCAAGTGCCCTCCTCTCTAGTGGTGATCCACACAATAGGGCTGCAACGACACTCCTCAAAACTCTAGACCTGCTCTGAGGTGGAGAAGGGGAGGAGAATAGGAGAGGCAAGCAAATGCTCTAGTTTGTGAACCACTGAATCCTTCCTATTTATAGAGGTCTCTTGTCAACTTAACCCTAATAGATCCACCCCTATTAGGTTTTGGATCTCCATCCAAATACCCAAGCCTTTTAGATTAGTGGATCTTTATCCAATAATCTCTCATGAGCTCTTATTTGATCTCATTCATGGGATCCAATAATTCAGGGGCTTATTGGATATCCAATAATATGGGGTTTCGACAGATATCTCATATCCGAACCTCTACTCATCGCAACGCCTACTATATGTGTGTGACTCTCTAGGCCCAATATCGAGCTGACCATGAGTCATACCTATCAGAACTCCTTCTGGCTCAGTGAATTATTATCTCTATAATAATTCACTCGACTCATCGACTCCGGACGTATTAGGCCACTACGCCGTAGTCCCCAGATAATACAAGAGAATCCAATCTATTAAACTTGTTTGTCCTCAGTTATCATGTACCTATAGTCCCTCATCCATCTAATATCCTAGATACCATATACCGAGCATGGTGCTGTTAGACCCATACGGTTTTTACTCGAGTCTTGCTTTAATCGGATTCTCTTGGAAAACTCTTACTCTCTCAATCCGAATGACCTTGGTTAGGGATTTGTTCGGATTCTCTTGGAAAACTCTTACTCTCTCAATCCGAATGACCTTGATCAAAGATTTGTTTGAGCAAAAACACATGGGACATTCCTCTCATGACATCGAGAGTGAATGATTCTCTATCGACACTCAATAGCCCTCGAAAGGTTGACTACCACTCATGAAAACCGACTGTGCTAGATCTGGGACATCCAAACCTATAAGTCCAGTATTAAAGAGTGGAACACTTATATAGGACATCCTTGATGTCTCAAGTCTAAGGACCAGATACACCATTAAGACCACGGAATCACTGTCTGACAATAAGACATCATCAACCATCCAGCATTTCGTAAGCAGATCAATCAGTGAACTTATTCCCCAATGAGCACCTATATTGTATCCCTAGTATCCCCACACAAGCAGCTATGAGACCAACTACATCCATCATATGGATGGATATGCAACACATCAGTCTATCCGATTATTTCGATGTCCCTCTTGAGTAACCTATAACTTAGATTATTTAGGATATGTGTTTAGAGGCGAATCGGTCTCATTATCATAATCTCATCACGATTTGATTCTCATTACATAAATCTAAAGACATCACA